TACTGAGTGTTCAATGGTACTTGAATACATGATATTGAGATGAATGTTGTATACTACAGCCATTGTACGTACGAGCATCCGTGTATAACCTTCGATTTCACATAAGTCAGATGTTCAAATTTCTTACACAATGAAGAGTAAGTATCTAGCTCAAAACACCCAGACATCAGCTCGTGCTAAATCTTATAAGATCTTATGCATACAAGATTTTCTACACGATAGAGTCCTACAGGGTTCAACTTTTTCGGGGTGTGTGTGAGTGTGGGTGTGTGTATGTATGAATGCGGGTGTGTATGCGTGTGGGTGTGGGTAGGTGTGAATGCGGTTGTGTGTGCGTGTGAGTGTGAGTGTGGGTGTGGGTGGGTGTGAGTATGAGTTCTAATTCTTGATAAAACAGATGCCGAACTATATCAGCACGAACCTTGAAGCCGGTAGTTCGTTCCAGCCAGAGAAACACACCGCATTGTATTAATATCGCTGATCCAATCTTTATGATGAGCTTAAGATGTTACACAAAAAAGTGCGAAAAAGAAAAACCTTTTTTGATTATGATGAGCATACGAAAGGTGTGGGTGTGGGGGCCAGTATGGTTATAGGTATTATTCCATGTACACCTACACTGAGGCCCTAACTTGGACTCGTCTTGCTTATTATCAAGCACTGGTCCTTCGAGCGAGAAGAACGGATGATTTAGAATAGATAAGATCAGTTTTGATTTTGAAACGTGAATGAAAGAAGGAGATTAACTACTTCATTTTAAATCAATTCAATTAGAGTCTTCCTATGTGCTATTTATCGTCTCAGTCGTCAGCGGTCTTCTGATAAAAACAAAATGTTTCTTCGAACCAATTACCGGATCTCTGCACGCTTTTGTTCTTGCTAATGGGAACATAGTGAAATAGAGGAAGGAAATGGTTGATTTTTCAGCCGAGCATTATAAACGGTTATACATGGCTATGACTGTAGTACGTCCTCGCCCGTATATTAACGTTTCTCAGATGGTCTAGAACGCTGATAACGAACCTACACCACCGGTCACATATGAAGAAGTTATTAAAGTAGTTGCTTCTCGAGAGAAAAGGCTCCCATGCGATGCCTGTAACGAAAATGGGTGCAACAGCTCTACCACTGGTTGGGCATTGATGTTAATGAGCTACTAGTGCATTCCACTATCGTTATGATGACAAATGGAGAGGCACATTAAATGTCTTTGATCCCATTGTGGGCATGATGTTTATTCGACTATGCACTACATCCAAATGTAACTATCTCACATGCAACACGAGCTTATATATGAGAGAGAGAATAAAGAAAAGGAAAAGGTACAATAAATCAGAAGAGAGAAGGAAGCAGATAGGGAAAAGAAGAGGAAGAGAAAGATACAGAAAAACATTCGTTGCTTGATATATCTTCCATTAACCTTGTTCTAAGTGAGTAATGGATTCCTTGGTATCATGACATAAAAAGGACATTTGTCATTGAATGTAATCCTTGGTAGCATGTCATAAGAAAGGACGTGGTTTGTCTGAAACATCTTCGATTGACCTTGTCTTGTCTAAATGATGTGCTCCTTGGCACAATGCCCACGGTCTCTCTACATTTATGTTAAAATTTATTCCGCCACAGTACTGGATATTATTTGTTCATCTTCTGTCGTCTACCTCATGTTTATTTCCTTCATGATGGAAAAATGTTCGGATTATTTTGCTCGCTAAGAAGGAGTTCATTTGTTCAGTATCTTACATCAGGCCTGTCTTGTTTCTAGATAGTTTTCTTAAATTAATTGAACGTATGCACTTAACCAGATTGCTAAACGTTTTACGCAGATGGCGTATTTTGCTAGACACGCAGTCCAGGTTCCACTCAAATTTCAGGCTGCAAACTAGAATAGTCTTACTGATAGAACAGATTTTCTGCCTGCTATCGAACAACTCATCAGTAACGACGATCTTTGTGGATTACAAACAAGCCTTCAACTAGTTATGGTTCGAAGGTTGCATAGCTAAATTAAATCGATTGGAAATCCCTAGAATATTCATGCAATAGATTCAGGCGTTGTAATTTGGGAGAAGAACCTTTGTAGAGTGCGATGGGGCTAGTTCGATTGGTTACCGATAGAACCTGGCGGACTACAAGGATCTAGTCTCACATCCTCAGTATTTATTACGTACCATTCGGACATAGACCTCTTATTGCAAAAATGTACGTAGTTTTACTTTGCTGATGACTTGCCAGCCACTATAGCTGACCACATAGGTGCTAAATGTCTGGACCAATGCTTAGATTTCGAACGTAGAATAAAAGTTTTCAATCAATGGAAAACAGATCGGCCTATCTATTGATGAATAGACAAGTTCAATCTGCTAGTCTCAACTTTTGAGGGTGTGGGTGTGGGTGTCGGTGTGGAGGTGTGGGATGGTGAGGGTAAAAGAGAATTAACATACACCTACACCTACACTCACACCCACATCCACACCCACACACCTCACACTCACACATCCCACACCCGCACACCCCACACCCACCCTAGGTCGACATAGGTACTCGTGAATATGAAGAGCCTCTATATAAATTTTCTTACTACGTTTATCAATCGTGTCACACAGAAAAATCACTGAATTTGCATTGTATTGCTCCTAAGATAATCGAAAATTCATATGATACATTGAATAGTCTCGAACACTCAAATACATATTCACTCAGTTCTTATCATGTTAGATTCGATTCTTGCAATGAATTAAATCCTATAAATAGAGTGATCGCATTAATAAAAATGAAAATAGAACGATGTTCAGATCATATCTCGAACAAGAAGCAAAACATTTCGTATTTTTGGAAAAAAGACCATGTCAAATTTCTTCATTAATATTTCATCTTTATTTTAACCATATTGTCAAGTACAGTGTGTCCTAAACGTCCCTTCTCAAAAGTTTTGTCGTATATCTTTGCTATTTCATTTAACTTTATCGACAAATATTTTTTTAAATTAAAGGTGAAGATATCGAGTTTTTATTTATCCGAGCCACGTTCCATACTAACTTGTAAAAGTATCACTATTGATCGAAATACAAAAATTTTGCTTTCGTTGTGAAAGGCAAGTGATTGGAAAATTAACTAAGTTTTTTCCTTTGATATTTTTATATGGGTGGATAGGGCGTGTCGAGTTCTACAAAAATATGCATATTGAAAGTTTTTAAAACCTTTTCTTTCATGCGAAATTTACAGAAAAATACCTCAAGAGGTCGAAATAACTAAAGAAAAAAATGGATGCATAATGTTTTTCTGGAAACACCAAGAAAGCAAAATTTTTGTATTTCGATCAAAAGTGATACTTTTACAAGTCAGTGTGGAAGGTGGCTCGGATAAATAAAAACTCGATATCTTCACCTTTAATTTAAAAACATATTTGTCGATAAAGTTAAATGAAATAGCAAAGATATACGACAAAACTTTTGGGAAGGGACTTTTAGGACACACTGTATATCTAACATACTGTTCTGTGTAATTTCTAATTTTGGTGATCAGAATCGTCATGTAACTGAACAACGTTGACAACATAGTTTTATCTAATTGATGTCAGTTTTTATACTGATGAATGTTAAGAATGACGATTATCAATCTATCAAAAATATGAATTCTGACAGTTTTTCTCCTTTTTGTTCTATAATTGCTTCATCTTTAAATCCATCGTACTATTCAAGCCAATTTACAATCAATCATCCAATATTCGCTCGCAATGGCAGTTTCGAAGCTAACTACTACTATGAAAATCTTCGATTGACAGTTTCAACAGGTGGCTTGTATACTCTTCAGTCTAACAGCTATATTGACTCATTTGCCTTCCTCTATTACACAAGTTTTAATCCATCCAGTTCGGCTACAAATTTATTTAGGTCATTTGATGATGCATCTAGTGATAAGTAGGAATTCAATTTTACAATAAATTTTCCTTCTGTTTATACAATAGATTTTGTTGTCACGACTTGCAGCCCAAGCGTAACAGGATCATTCCAGATCGTTGCAACAGGCCCAAATAAAGTGACTTTTGTTTGTATAAGCAGCATCGGAAATTCAAATAACGGATGATCGAAAAGTTTTCGGATATAATTGAAATTCATATTTCTAGTGTTATACTCATGTTTTGTTTTCTGATTTTTTTTGTATACAGAGTACATACACTACGAACCTATAAAATAATATAATCAAAGTATGGAAAATGATTCTTTTTATCTGTCCATTTTTCTAATTTTGTTCGAAGGTGACTGCTTTGCCTCTAGACAATATTAATGCTGGTTATATATAGTTTCTAATAAATTCATCTTTTCAATTGTAATTCTGTTTTTGTCACTCAATGATTGCTATGCATTTTATCAAGAAACATTGAACAAAACTTTTGTATAGGTCAGATTTTTTGGAACATTTGATATATTGTTGTGATTTGGTCCACTATTGCTTTTATACTGAAGAAATCAGTAGCAATATATCATTTGTCTAATTCAATGATACTGATTCTGACCGAACACTATTGATTAATGTTTCAGGGAAACGTCTTTCATTTATTCAAGCACATTTTGCTAAGAATGCATATAATTATTTTCGGCAAATTTGACACCATTGAATCAAACAAAAGATATATCACCACTGGTTTCTTCAGTGCAAAATCAACATTGTGCAAAATTGAAACAATATATCAAATGTTCAAAAACTCTGACCTATACAAAAAATGACTTTGATTATATAATTTTATAGATCCGTAGTATGTATATTTTATGAAAAAAAAATCAGAAACAAAGCATGAGTAGATCAAAACAAATGTGAATTTCAATTATATTCGAAAATTTTCCGATCATCCGTTACAACACGAACTACAAGAAGGATGTGGGTGTGGGATAGAGAATAATAAAATGTTTGAGAAGTTCTTCATATTGAATATTCAATACATTGATCAAGCCTCACTTTGTACTTCAAATTTAATTTCGATAAGGAAAACATATGGTGACTCATACGTTTGTTGTTTTTAAGTCACTTATATCAAGTACGTGTTCTTCATCGATCTTCCATGGTTGTGGTTGTCGAGTTGGCCATCGAAGTAAAAGCAAATCAATAGCCGATGCAAACTCCTCAGGTGAATTTTCGTCGGGTTCTGGGATAAGTACAAAATATTCGAAAGTGTTTGAATCCAAAAATATTGTCTGCATCTGTTGAGTTTCCATCTGACATTTGTCTTTTGTCAAATTCGAATATGAACGCACCAGTTGTTCAAAAAACATATAAAGTATTGATGATTCAGAAGTTGTCTCTGCTCGTGCTGCTTGTTCAGGATCGAGTAGAAATGCTCTCAAGACTTGAAAAAATTGACTTTCTGGCGATAATGCAGCCGAGAGTTGTGGAACAGTTTTCATTTGAGATATCTTTTCTTGTTTGTGTTTCTTATATACTTCAAGAACTTTCGATATGGCAATACCTGAAAGACTACCAATCATTCTTCCACCCACAGTACCGATAACACCACCGACAACCGAGCCCAGAATGGGTACAGGAATAAGAATAGTACCAACAATGGCACCTGTTGTTCTTCCAATGACCTGAATAAGTGTGCACATTATTTTGCATTATTTTTGAATAAAATAATCACTTACAGTGCCAGATGTTGTTGCAATGCGTCGCACGACATATTTCTTGAAAGCAATATCACTCAATTCACCTTTTTGTCGTTTATTTCGTTCTTTTTTTATATGAATAAATGTTGAAATGCTTGCGACTGCAGTAAAAATAACACCTGATCCTATGGCACCTAGAAATGGTGCAAGACTTTGAGTATCAACAATTGCTACATCTTTAACAAGCAAGGCACAGGAATCGACAATTAAAAGTGTAGCCGCTTTGTCTTTAACTAAATTATGAAGTTTAACAGCTTGTTCGGAATAGGAATTACCCGATCGACACCATCTTGCCCAATGTTCAAAGTTATTACCGACTAAGGAATAGCCACGTTTTCCTAGATAATTAATAGCACGTTCTAGAGTTTCTTCATTCGAAAGACATTTTATATTATCATAATGATATACATAAATTTCTTCATTGTCACTATTTATTACCACTTTCCATTCACTTTGAATAACTTCAGTAAGATATAATGAACCTTGAATTAATGAATCCCAAACATTTTCTATTATGTTGAAATAATGTATAACAAGAAGATAATTAGTACGAGCTTCACGTACAATTCCATGATATGAATTGGAAAGGACACGATTGTAAAAACTGACATGATCGCCGGGTTTGAGTTGAGCAATATCAATTATTTTCTCTTTGCGTATACTTTTAAAATGCTTTTCGTCACAAATAGAAGACTTGGTATTATCTTAAATGAAAACACACACAGATCTAGTAAGAGGACAAGAACACGTACGAGTTAAAAACTTGCCAGTTAAATTTTTCTTGAAGTGAGATATCAAAGGATAAGTGTCCACCATGTCTGCACTTGTCTAAAATTGCAATAAGTGAGGCACCTACACTTTTTTTTTTGGCTTTTTTTAAAATGTATTTTTGCTTTGCACTGATGACGAATGTATGTGTGAGAAAAAGAATACATACACATCAGAGCATTTCTTCTGTCGGGGTCTGACGTAGTCGGTTACAGAAAGAAAAAGAGAGTGAATTCCTTTTCGATCAATTATGTTGATGCATCAAGTTTGATTTCTCTCTTTCTGTGTCTCCAAGTCATCCATTGAGAGAGAAAGTATCGAATTTCTTTCGATTGGTTACATTCTCTTTTCAAATTTGTTGAAAAAAAAAACTGATCAGCGCAACCCCAATAGGGTTGAAATACGGCACTCACATCGCAATGCCACACTAACAAATAAGAAAGCTTTCAACATCACTCCTACGGAACTAAAATATGTAACATCCAATCTAATGCGTAAAATAAAAACTATTAGCAGACACTATAGTATGTACAATGTGGGTGTGGGTGTAAGACAAGAAGGTAATATATATTCACACCCTCAACAACGAAAAGACATAAATTTAACAGAATAATAGGGGTTACACATTGAAGAAATATGTTCCCATCAAATTTAGATTCAGTTTCATTGTTACTCTCAGTAGAGACGCTTGATATACTATTTCATATTCTTACTTGGGATAATATCATGTAGAGCTATAAGTTATTCGAAAGAAGATTGACGAGAAAACAACAAAAAGAGATGTGGTAGAACGAATGGCAATCTCAGTATTTTTTTTCAATATTCTAGCCTATTCTCGTCACTTCGAAGCAATGTTGCTTTATAGAAAGATTCATCACTTAATCATCTACGAAATTGTGTATTTCTTTTAATGAAAGCATGCTTCATAAGTTTTTGATACACAGCACAATCGACAGCTTGAACCAGTATTAGGTTGAATGCTGATTTTTCAGTTCTCATGCCATGTTCAAATTTTTTTAGGAACTATCCCTAGCTCGTATTTGTTGAACCATAAATGTCATCATTTAATTCAATAATGATGCCATAAAACGATTTTCCATCTTATATTGATAAGGATCATTATTTTCTCTGCAAATTAATTAGATAGGGTATTCATTATGAAAAAAGAAAATTTTATATTGTCTAGTCTCTTTTTTTTGTTCTGTGTATCGAAAGACTATAAAGTATGTTTTCATTAAAAGAAATACATAATTTCATAGAGAATTCAACAATAAATTTTTATAAGAAAACTTTGTTTCGAATTGATGAGAATAAACTAAAATATTTCCACAAAAAATCATTAATATATTGCTTTTGATAAAGCAACAGTGTAATCAGAAATCATCAAATAGTTGGACACCGTTCTGATCATTTTTTTGAAGGTGTATTTTCCATCATCAAGATTATCTCCTGGTGATAAAATAGAGGTTATAATGATGATGATGTGTTTTTTCTTCTATAAAAAAGTTTAAAAAAAAATAGAACTACTTCTATTTTGTTTATTCTAAAAAATACTCGATAGCTAGTTATTCAAAACTATTGAATTTCATTAATAGGAATCAACAAATTATATGGATTTCTGTTGAATATTTCGTAAATGGTTTTTATTACCCATGTAAAAAAAAGACTGGAAATATCAGATTTTTCTATATAAAAAAAAATCAAACTTTTGAGACTTGAATCTTTTCTTAACCAATTCTAATTGATTATAAAAAAGTCAGATTAAAATCAGGTTATAATAGTGTCATTATAATCGATTCACAATCTTATTTTTTCAATCTTTTTTCTTACATGGGCATCCACATGAACTTTTTTATTTAATTTAGTCTTTCTTTTTTTTTACGAGAAAATTGAAATAAGTACATTTAGTTAGCGATAGAATTTCTTTACTTATTCAAAAGTTAGAATAATATTTTCAAACCGAAACTTTTTCCTAAATTATAAGTTATCATCGGAAGAAAGATCAAAATGGATAGTGATATGAAGTATTTTGATTCAATATCTGATGTGTCTTCAGGAATGTAATTTTTAGTATTAAACCACAAGAAAAAAAAAAATTTAAATACTTAAGTTATATTATCTCGAGGTTCGAAGATGACATATCTTAAATTGTTTTTGCGTGATTCAGAATTATACTACATTCCTGAAGAAACACCAGATATTTAATCAAAGTGCTTCATATTACTATCCATTTCGATCTTTCTTTCAATGACAGCTTATAATTTAAGAAAAAGTTTCCGTCTGAAAATATTATTCTAACTTTTGAATAAGTAAAGAAATTCTAACCCTAACTAAATGTACTTATTGCAATTTTCTCGTAAAAAAAAAAGAAAGACTAAATTAAATAAAACTTTCTGTAGATGATAAAAAACATTTACGAAATATTCACCAGAAATCTATATAATTTATTGATTCCTATTAATAGAATTCAATAGTTTCGAATACCTAGCTATCAAGTATTTTTACCAGATACCATGATTTACTAGATTTTTCTATCGAAAATTAACAAGAAAACGTTGATACACATTGATTAGTTGAGCATGATATCTGGCATCCCACCAACACTTTGTAAAAAAAGAGAAGAAAAAGAGGCACACAGTTTCGTCCGAAGAAAAGTAAAACTCACTGGCACAATAGTACTATAAATCCGACAAAACTCGTACGTTATCAATTATAAGTTGAATATGACTTGAAAGAGTAAAAAAGAAACGAAACTTCCAGTTGTTCATAGAGATTTTTGCACAAACACTAGAAAAATAGTCCATTCTATTTGCGTAGCATCTGACTATAATATTACTCTATCTGACTAAGTAGGCATATAGAAATAGAAACGATCAGAATTCATTAAATGTTTTTTTTTGTTCCTTTCTTCGGATGACTGTGCATGTGAGAAAGGTATTTTTTTGTTGTTTTCAATTTTCAGCAAGTCTTCCATGATATAGCAGGTTTGTGAGGAATCGTTCGGCCCTGTGCTGTCGAAAACGACTTATTTGTATTGGGTAGATTGTAGGATTCTCTGCTTTTTGATCAGTGGAGCGCTCCTGTTTACTACTATCGCATTTCATCATATCCGATTTCTTTCAATTATCATCAAACCGTTGTCAATATTAACCCATGGCAAGCAAACACGCTTGTAATCGGAGAAACTCGGAGGGAGAGGAATTACTTCATTTTGACAGTAAATCAATAGCGTAAGGTAATCTAACAACATACCATGGCATCTGTAATCAACCCAGTAATTTTGAGGATCAGATATTGTCGGATATAACATGAAAACTTTTATCGGTATCTAATAAGCAAAAATCTTCAACTTATGACATCATACTATCAGAAGCTATCTTGTGGAAGAAATCCTATCGAATCTGACAGGATTCTAGAATAGATCTAGCCATTCTGGAAACTTCTTCTCATTTTGACGCATGCATTACGCTACGAGTTAGCTATCCATTGTTAGATTCACATCACAAGCTTCTCTAGAGCGAAGAAAAATAGTCAAGAAAAGTGAGCCGATATTATCATTTTAGATGTTGATCTTTACCAGAAAAACTTGCCAAGATTGTGAGAAAATGATGAGTTCATATTGGAAATATAATTGAGTGATTTTGCCTCCACTAGAGAACTATAAAAATTAGGTCCCAATTAGAGATATATAACATCGCTGAAGTTGATCACTAAAATCATATAATTTAGCTTCCCTAGCTATATACCTCAATTGATCGGCACATTAGTTTGTGTTATGTGATCTTTTCGTATGATATGGTAACATTAATCAATATATTCATCGATGTTTTCGTCAACAAGCTACTTTTTCGCAAGAAAAGAGGCGGAATGGGATGCCAGCATGATATGCAACCATCGACATATTATTAATCCAAAACTTGATCTATTATAGTATTCAATAAAAAAATTATAGCCAGCCTGAAAAAAACTTACAAAAAAAAAGAAATCAGTATGGATGTTTAGTCCTATCCTTAAAAAAGACACATCCTCTGAATCTTATTCTCCAGACAAAGTTATAAAAAAATTAATTTTATATATTTCGCACGAAATTTTTTCGCAGCGGAATTTGTGGATCTATCTTTAACCGTATTAATTGTCATAATGACTCATCATATGCACACACTATAAAAAAAAGAAAAACAAACGATTGAAGTTCTCATCTTCTTTCTATGATATGAAAATAATAATTCACGATAAAATACACGTTCATTTTGGAGTCTATCAACGTTCTATAGGATACATTATACGGAATAATCAAAATAATCTTTTTATTTATGTGATAAGAAGTTACAGAACGAAGAAGAATAATAATCGATCACTGAATCATTATCGAGTGTGTTTTTACGAATGATAAAATTTTACAGCGCCATCTGTCACATTGTATGATTTAGGTTTTTATATTTTTATTGAAAATTTTTTTAAAGTAAAAAAAAACCGTCATAGACCGTCGGTTAACCGCCAGTATTATCGAAACCGGCGGAGACCAGCGGCATCTATATAAAAGTGACGACATGGGTAAGTAATTTTAACTAAAAGCTAAGTAAAAATACAGAAATATGTAAGCAAAAAATTTAGTTGAACAGTTATTCGATTAACGAAGCTTTTGTTGCTTTTCGCGATTGTCCTTGTATGCTTTTTTTTCATCCCAAAGTATATCCTTTACTGCTAGAGATAGTTTGAAAAATTTCAATCTAATTGCCATACCAATCATTTATTTGCAAATATATTCTTTAAAAAAAGTTTTGATAATTGCAAAATCCATTTTTCCATGCTGATCCAATGCCCAGCAAAGTTATTTTCCATACTCCAAATTGAAGATCTTTAAATTGATCAAATGACGTTCATTTTTTTGGTGACATTTTTGCCTCCCCAGCTGGTATATAATAATCGATAGAACCTTTTGTTTTAGATGGTAAGTATAATACTAATTTTGAGGATTTTGAAAAATGATATGCATCACTGATGTATATATATAAAAGAATAGAAAGTAAAGAACTTATTAGAAAATGACATATGCTGAGGGAAGAACTCTTCGAGAAACAGCAGAGATTATATATAATCACTACGGAAGGAGAGAAAAAGAAAAAATGTACTTGAACATACTAGAAGATGATGTGTGTGCGTGTGTGTATTCGCGCATAACATCATAACGAAAAAAAAATAAAGATGAAATCTACGTATATTATGGTGTCACATCGGTACTAACAGAAGGAAAGAGAGAGAAAATGTACAAACCACATCCTCAACTGACAATTATTATCTTATCTTGTCTTAATTATAAACCCAATTTATTGACTTAATACTTAAATATTTTACTGGTATATTAATTATCAAACTTAGCAAAAATTTTAATTATAGACAAATATTAATTTAATTGAACATTCAACTTATTTTACTGAGCATATAATAACTTTACTTTGTATTATATAATAACCTTATTTCTACTTTTAACATTATTCAGATGCGGTACTCACCACAAAGAAATCAATAACAGTCAGTATATTAGAAAAATTTGATGTAAACTTGCTATTGATATTGGCTTGGTGATGGTGGTTATATAACACTGTTTACTTGTTTTATCAAATGATTCTTTTTTACCTTCGCAGCAAACCACCTTTATACGTTTCTTACTTTTCATTAATATGCCTTGTTTTTTTTTGTTACACACTATATCACGAACGTAACTACACAAGATACATACATTGTGCATGCAACGATTTGCTTCAGTGATTTGTGTATAGTGAATATTGTATACGAAATAATATCGAAATATATTCATACTTGAAACAAAATCGATAAACACAAAGTAGTAGGAAAAAAATCAAATTACTTTTTATCTTGACGAATGTCATAATATTATATTCATGTAGATATAAATAGAAAGCCTCGAAACAAAAAATTTTGATATAGATTTTGATATATGCTTGATATCAAGTCAACACTAGCGCCCACGGCTAAAGAAATACTTAATATATAACTTTTCAAGAGGGATAACACATAATTCAGGTATTCAGGGTGGGTGTGGGTGCGTGAGCGTCGATGTGCATGTTCTGATTCATTTACCCACACTCACACTCACACCCCACTAAATGCAATTGATTCATGATTATCATATGTGAAAAGAAGAGGAGATTATAAGTTCAATTTTTAAGAATATATTTTTACTGATAAGGAAAGAATGCTCTTGGAAAGAGATCAGCAAAAATCAAGAATATATCAAATCTTAACATGTCATCACATTGGCCTTGATGTGGTAAAATATTGACTATTTTAATTCGATAAAAAACCAATCTCAAGCTTTCATCTTTTTTGACCATATCAGTCAATTCATTACCAATTTGCATTATATCTGCAATAGTTTTCAATCTTAGAGATAATTCTTTTACATTTGGTGATATTATAAGCCACATTATCAATGTCCACGTATTTACTTCATCAAGATCACATGAGTTCATATTAAGATGCTTGACATTCGGTAATAACGGAATTGTTCGTGTATTCACAAGCTAGAATAGTAAAATAAAGAAAAAATAAATTTAGTAAATCACTATAACAACAGTTAGTTGTTCAAAGAATAGTTGAACTATACGCACAAGAACTGTTCATCATTAAAAAGTAAAGCTCGCGTAAAAAAATGAATTTAAGAGGACTGTGTGTTAGGGTGTGTAAATGTGGATGGGAAAGAAAAGAACAATAGACTTAGACTGAAACCATTCGATCATTTTTACCTAAATGAACCAAAACTACCCTTATCTATTAAACCATGTAACACAACAGTTATTTGTCGACAAAAAAATTGAAGTTGAAGAATGATAATAGACAATGTCAAAACAGAGATTTCAGAAACATATCTAGCCTATTTACCAAAGTCATTCAAAAGAACCAAAATCAATAAGTTTGAATTTGCGCATATGCTCATTTGATCATTCTCTATCAGATTGTCAAATGCAAATACCCTTCTACATATGAAGTAAAACAATTTATTCATCATAGTTCACAATCTATGAGAAAAGTATATGCTTAGATGAAGAAAAAGAGGAATATCCTCAACTTTCGGCTACTTTACTTTATAGAATGCTGTCCGAAGACATTTTCGAAATTCTGATATTCTCTTTTGACAACAACGACTAATAGCTATATCTCTGTACAAAAAATATATCACAGCGTAGTGAATATGCTATTGTACGAGTCATCCACAGCTAACAAACGTTAGTAAATTGTTCTAGGTCATTTTATGTCTGATTGTACCGATGCTTAACCAAAGCACCTTGATAGTGTATACCGACTAACTTAAACATTTATCCATAGCTGCCACTATATCTTGAAATATTAGTGTTAACGATAGTAAGTCAAATATTGCCGCTAATATCCATCTATCTCTATGCAATCCAAGAAACTTGATTTGATGAGGATGAAATCGACCGAAAACCTATTTGTGATGTACGAAACTCTCATGCCACAGTACCCGATATTTTGATAGCTATTCGAATTAGTCAAGTTAAAATCAATCAGATATTCTAGCTTCTAATACGCAAAGTTCCGCTGAAAACCTTTTGTCAACTATAGTAGAATATGGTATCAACCTAAAATACTCTTCTAATAGATTAGCATTCTAATACATCAATATGTTCTATTGTCCATGTCATAGGATATGCTAGAAACTTTGATCTACTTCTTTTTTCGAGAAATCTTCCATTGTCTTCTATCTACTTTCATATAATATATGTAATCAATATAGATAAAAACGAACTTGTTCGCTTAGTTTCCAATGTGTGAAACTGAGTTCTTGATAGCATGAACGAAACATGTGACCAATGAAATGTAGAAAATTGAGAGTGATTGGTTGATTTGAGCTAGTAATAAAATTGATTTTTTTTACTTTAGTAAAGTAAATATGCCATGGATCAAGATTTCCTTTATTTATCAACCATTTATTGAGATCAGTAGAGAATTTCATTGATACAGGATGAACACATGGCATTGTACCAATAAAGATCTGACCATCAAGATTATGTTGAATGAGTATTGATGGTTGTCGATCATTCAACCACCAATCACTTTGGAATTGCTGTAATAGTTCAAACATGTTAATTTCTTTATTCTTATGTTCAAAGACAAAAGTTAATTTCTTAAGACGTTGACACGGTTGAAATAATATTGCTAGCTGTCGTCCATCCAATAAAAGTTGAGAGGTATTAATGATCAAGGTGACATCTTCCAAAGATGATTGATAACAAGTAATCAATTTTGTAATTGGAGTAACATTTGAGCTGTTAATATCATTGACTGTCACATGTAACTGAGCTAGATGTGTGGTAGATTGTGGAATGAAAGCTGAAATAAAAGAAGAATTGCTCAACTGATGTTTTAGTCTGAGACAACTGATCATCAGCTTGGTCAAATTGGGTGCAAGCGCGCAAAAACTGAATACATCTTGGCTTGTGCAATTTTCAGCAGATAGACGTACAATGGCTGGACATGGTAAACTATTGGCAACATCATGTGCCTAAGAAATAATTCATATGTTAAATATAATTTCAAAAAGTCAAAAGATTTTACGTACTTGCTGATCATCGTTTAGCCAATAATTACTTTCAAAAAGTGAAAATTTATTTGTCTTATCATAGGGTAACATTTTACATAATCGGATTATATTCAAACATGAAATAATTGCGCCTAGGGCTGAATGACGTTCAACATTCAGTTCAATAGTGACGGATGTCGAATACTTGAGAATAACTGTACGTAGATTGAGAAATAAGTATGTACATGGAAAAATAGCTGGTACTGATCTAATATCGAGAGAGATTGTTTCAATGACATTTTCGATATGCGGCATTGATTCGACCAACCATTTTCGTGTGGTTTTGTAAGGAAAGTTGAAATGACGAGCTGAGTCAATAACAATTGTGTTAAATCGTCGGTTAAGACCCAAAAATGCTCGAACATAATCTGGTGAACTCAAATAGGAAGTGATAGTGTATATGAGCTCATTTGGTAAAATTTCAAGACAACTATTCAATAGAAACGAGAATGAAAAAGTATGCATTTTCTATATGGAAATACCAAAGTCTGTACTGACCTTTTAGGTACAATCGAATATCTATGATATCCTTCAGCAATTCTATTTGATCTAGTCTGGGACAATATTGATAAATTGTATGTAGTGGGTAAATTAAGGATGCAATTGTTACTCTCTTGACATTCGATTTTAAGTCGTTTTTTGACTAATTCGTTATCATCTTTTAAAATAAAACGAACAAACTATATTTGATCATCAAGTCGATTAAGCACTTTACCTGGCTCTTTTCTGCTATTTTTTCTTTGACCGTTCATCATCTGATCATCAATGGGTTTCATTGTATCAAAATCTGAAACAAAAATCGATAGAAAACTCCATCAATTCACTATAAATATTCATAGATAGATCATAAACATATATATGAATAATAGATAACTCTACGTTACGGATTTGTATCTTTCCAAGATTTCACAGGAGTATGAAGCCTTTTTTTTTATTAACCGTATATTTCTAACGGCAATAGTAGCTTAAAAAAGCAAAATGCTATCATACATGTCATGCATCACCGCCGAAAATAATTTCCAGTTCGATAGTTGATGTTGAAAGTGAACCATCAGAAAAAAAATCAAAAAGACTTGAACATTTGATGAATTATGAAGTGACAAAAACAAAATCTAGAATAATAGCAAAAAGTGAAGTTGATATTTATATTGATTCTGAAAGGAGGGTGTGGGTGTGAGTAGAATCTTAAGAAGGAAGTAAAAAATTCACTCTCTATTTTCTGGTTGTTATCCAAAGGCAAATTGGAAATAAGAAAAAAAAATTGAAGTATGGAAAACACAACGACGATCAGAATAACGAAAAATAATTTGGATAGGTTGATAATTTATTGCATCAGATGTCACATAGTTATATGAAACGAAAATCATTAGATTATTTCATGATTATGTCAAAAGAGAAAAAACAATCATTGGAAGCATTGATATATTTTTAGTGATGAGATATCATTGCTTTTCGAAAGATCTTACGGAACATATCACGTAAATTTCGTTTTTCATTACGACTCTTGTCTTGATAGGAGAAAATATTGATTTTTTGAATTCGATCGAAAATCGATCTCACACGTTTGTCTTTTTCACATTGTTCGATTAATTGTCTAGCAAATGCCATTTTAACAGCCATGGGCATATAGCATAAATCTAATTCTCTCACATTGGGTGCTAATAAAAGCCATACAATTAATGTGATTGAATTGATACCAGCGTATTCAGCTGGTTCCAGATTGAAATATTTTACATTTTGTAAAATTGGCGATGATATTTGTGTACTGATCAACTAAAAACCAACAGTCTATATCAATATCAAAGGAAATCGAGTCGAAATTCTAATCTCGGTGTATTGTACAACGCGTTGAATTACAGTTAGTCATCACTTAGGAGATGGTTTTTTTAATGAGTTTTGTGACATGCATCAGTTTCTGTTAAATTGAGGATTTTTCACACCCAGACACAACATCATCTCTGCCGAAATAGTTATCCTGAAAAATGTCGAAAGTAGATGCGCTAGGAGACATGCGAATGATTCGATAAATGGCGCCTCTACTTTCGACATTTCTCAGGATAACCACCAAAATGACTCGAGAGTAACACTGTCGGATAGGAGATGAGCACTTCCCGGAAATAAAAGTATTCTTATGATTTTTCAGGAAAAACTAGCAAACTCCAAGACGCGCATAGTAACTGACGCTAACGCTTTGTCAAAACTTTTAATCATAGAAATAGAAGAGTAAGAAGTCTCGTTTCTGATGATTAAGGCGAAAGCTTGAAAAAAATTTCAAGATAAAATTTTTAGGAGCAATGTAACTCGACATGCTTGACAATAAACTAAACGAAAATCAAAAAGTGGTATGCTCACTAACTTCTAGTGAAGAAATGTACAAACGAACCTGTTCAAACAGTGTACGTGACGAGAGCACTTTCCAATAGTTAAAGCTCAACGTTTGATTGTATGAACGAAAAAATCGATGGATAAAGTTCAGTAAACCAATATTTATTGGTTGCTCACTACTATTTACAAAGCTAATTGATTGAACTTTCGTAAAGTACAAAAACGGCGAATCAAGTTTCCCCTTATTCAGCAGCCATCTATTCGGATTCATCGAAAAATCGAAAGATACATTTGAAGTACACGGCATAGAACCAATAAAAATATTATTCATTTCGTTGCTTAGAAGTAGTACTGGTTGTCGATTATTATCGAGCCACCAATCACTCTGAAATTGATTTAATAGTTGAATTATATCGATTTCTTCATCCTCACATGTAATAGTGAATGCTAGCTTTTTCAGACGCCAACATGGTTGAAATATTTCTTCCAAGTAACCTCCATTGGTTACAAGTTTATTCGTATGAATAATCAAAGTTATTTGTTCGAGAGATGATTGATAGCAATAAATTAACTGTTTGATAGAATCCAAACATACATGATCATCATCTCCATTATTATTCTGATGTACGATATGTAATCGAACTAGACGAGTAGGTTGCTGAATAAGATTTGAGATGGTATGATAATTTAAAAAATCATATGTAGGTATGAGCTCTTTGATTTTCAGACTGATCATATTGGGTGCGAGAGCAGAAAGATAGAATATATCTTGAATTGTACACTCTTCAACAGATAAACGCACAATGGCGGGACAAGGTTGAGTGTTGGAAATGATCTCAATCTAAAAAATCATATTCGTATATGAAACATAAGTAAATTGAAGTAACCGTCAAACGCACCCGTTCAGCTTTAGTCAAGTATAGGCGATCATTAAAAATGGATAACTCATCATCATTATCATCATCTTCATAGTCACAAGAAGGCCAAATGTCACATAATCTAAGTATATTTAAAGTTGATATAATAGCACCTAATGCGGAAAAGGCAACAACGACCTGTAACTGAATCGTAAAAACATTTGAACATTTTAAAATGATTGATTGGAGATTTGTAAACGAATGTGTACATGAAAAAATATTTGGCACTAATTTCATGTTTAGAGTCATCGTTTGAATTGCATTCTCAACGAATGATCTATATTCGATTAACCAAATCGGAGATGTGTCATTCGGAAATGTGAAATTACGCGATGACTTGCAAACAAGCCAATCGAATCGTCGATTGAGACAAGAAAATGATTGAACAAGATTTGTTGAGGTTAGATAGGACATAATCAAAATAATTACTTCATTGGGTAACATTTCCAATGAACTATTTAACAATGATCTAAAATGAAAGATTCATCTACTTGTTGAATCTAATAACTCAGCATGGTGATTTTACCTTTGAGAAGCGATGATACCATTATTCTGCTGTTCAGAATCAAGCAAGTTATCAATCAGATATTGATCATGCTTATTTTGAATGACATTGTTTGTTGTCGTCTGAACTGATATTGATGGGCTGTTTAGTTTCAATAACTGAGTGACGAAGTGGTTATTTTCTAGATAATCGGATCTGATTCATTTATTACTCATACGGAAATAACTAGATTAAGAAAGATACCTGAGTATAAGCTGACATTTTCGTCATTGTTGTGTGTCGTCGGGCTATGAACAAAACTCATCTCCTTACAAAATCTAAAATAGATATTCAATGATGAACTGAATTGAAAATTAATTAGATTTGAAATGCTAAACAAACGAATTCATAAAATATATTATACTATAAAAACACGATGGTTCACCAAAGTACTTTTTCATAGAAAGCATGATACTCTGAAAGTGAAAGACAAGATTGTTGAGATTTTTCAACTGGGTAACTAAACTTTTTTACCCAACTCTTTGTCTTTCTCATAATTGTGGCAAATTCAGTTTCTAAAAGTGAATAGATGTTATGTATGAGAAAGTTTTAATCGTAATGCATTTCTTTCTATATGTTTTTTAACTTTGTTTTGCTACTTACGGCACGTTTTTTTTTGCTTCAGTCAGTATGATTGCAAAATCGGAAGAAAGAGAACATAAGTTATGTGAGTCATTCGAATGTCATATAAGCGACATTGATAAACCGTGTATGTAAAGGAACGAGAAAAAAAAACATTATATCAGGTGTAATTTTCAAAGATGAATCATTCCAACCACTTCTATTGAGTATCTTAACGGCGGAAGTGCGTGTGGGTATGGGTTAAACGAAGATCAACGTCCACACTCACATCCTATCTGGAAAAACAATGTCTGAAGTACAGATTTCGTATCACACATATTATCTCAGAATGAATCTGAAAAAGAGAAAAGTCAAACATGAATACCTCTAAAAAAGTTCTTGGGTGTGGGTGTGGGTGTAAATGCATCAAACCTGCACAAATACAATATCAAATGAATTGAATGCGATTAATGACAGTATAATGAAATATACTGTTATTCGGACATTTTTTGCACGAAAAACATACTTTGTTAGATCAATGCATATAATATTAGGAATCAGCAGTAAAAACCTAAGTAGCACAATATACGTTGTATCCCAAAATAGTTTTGGTCGAACTTTGATCTGCGATAAATTCCTACTAAAGTTCTTAATTAGGAGAATTACGCGTCGAATTTTAAACGAAAAATACTTTTAGATACAATGTGCATTGTGCTACCAGGTTTTAACTGATATTTAGCTGCTAAATAACTTTTTTTCTTCCCTGCTTATTTATTCCTTGTTCTCTTTCCATGTTGTCGGAAGAACTAAACTCATCAGCATGAATAAAAGAAAGACAGTGGTTCTAAACCATGCCAATATGGCTGTAAGTATTCACGTATATGTGAAGAGAGATAAGGATATATAACGGCACTCGTAACTTATGCAAAAAAATACTCGAAAAATAAACCAAAATTAACCTTTGAATTATCGAAGCATTATACGTAGTCAACAGAATCACTAACTTGTAGAAGGGTGTGGATGTGGGTGTGGCTATAGATGAAAACAAGACCTACATTCACACCCACACCCAATTCGAACGTGTTTTCTTCTCTCAACAGCAATCTTAAAGATGAGCTATTTTATTTAATTTTCAAAAGAGTATCATTTTATTTATTGGAAACAATAAAGTAAAATAAATCGATCATCATTTGTGTTTAGTCTGTATATATGCCAAATCAATGACTTATCGAAACTTATAACATTGAAGGTTCAAAATTGCTCTTAGAGGTATTTCAGGACATTGTTCTTGCTAAAGATATAGGATATTCACAAAAACCCATAAAATCAACCAAAACTATGATGAAACTATTTCGAGCAAAATAAGTTCTACAAACGATAAAAGTTTTAGTCCGATAATCTTGTTTAAAACATTTTAACTATTTAGTTACTGTTGTGTAAGATACATAATCCTCAACTGCAAACAAGAGTCAATACAAAATGAAAACATGACAGGTGATGTTGAATGACTAATGAGTAGACACATTAGTCATATCATGAAACAACAAAGTGATACTCTTTACTCACATGTTATTTTCTTCTTATGACATCATTTTTTCTATGCCTAATTATGTAAGATTTTAAATGTTGCATACGTTTACGAATTCATTAGAAAACAAGTAAGTCTACTACAAACTTCTCATATGTCGCATCCAAAACTTTATGAAACTCGTGGTGCACATTATCATGATGAAAGTCAAACGACTAGTTTTTGTTTATATGCACCTAATGCAAGAAATGTTTGGCTTATATTAACTGCCTATGGTATACAACAATATCGATTACAAATGATCAAAAATCATGAGGATCTATGGGAAATTGTGACAGATAAAGCACCACCTGGTCGAACTTATCTCTATCTAATCGATGGTTATCATGGAAGACAAATGTTACGAACAGATCCAGTAAGTTTTTCTGTTGTCTCTAATTTGATAACTCGACGTGTTCAATCAGTTGTTCATGATGAAACAGTTTATTCATGGAATGATCAGAATTGGATGAGACAACGTGCTCGAACTAATCCTTTGAAATTACCGTTATCTATCTATGAAATTCAACCAAAATCATGGAAAAGTAGTGTTTATTGGCCATTGAACTTTCGTCAAGTGGCTGGTGAATTAGCAACGTATTGTAATCAAATGGGATTTACTCATGTTGAAATGTATGGTATATTAGAACACACAGACAGATGGGAATATGGCTACCAGATAGCCAATTATTTTGCTCCTTCTCGTTTTAGTGGTTTATGTGATGATTTAAAGTATTTGATTGATCATTTACATCAAAATGGTATTGGTGTTATT